GATGAGATGATGATGGATGATGATGATGAGGATGATGATGATGATGATGATGATGATGATGATGATGATGATGATGATGATGATTGATGACGGACGACGACGACGACGGACGACGACGACGACGACGATGATGATGATGATGATGATGATGATGATGATGATGATGATGATGATGATGATGATGATGATGATGATGATGATGAAAGCGCGCCAGTGGATGGTCCTGAATACACAAAAGGGGGGGGTGCTCGCAGAACCCCCCCCCCTCCCCCCCTTCAAAAGGTGGGTTAGATGTTCGAACCACCCCCTCCCCCTCCCCTTCTTAAAGAGGGGGGGGTCCGAATCCCCCCCCCCGCTCCCTTTGAAAGAGGGGGGGGGGTCCGGACCCCCTCCCCCCCTTGGCGCTGGAAAGGGGGGGGGTTCGAAATCCCCCCTCCCCCTTTGCGCCGAACACGGGGCTGGGGAGGGGGCCTCTCGGGTAGTGAGCACGGAGTAGGGTGTTTTGAGTAGCGATTGGTGGGTAGTGGGTATTTGATAGTGAGCAGTGCGCAGTGAGTCGTGACTGGTGAGTAGTGAGTGGTGGGTAATGGGTAGTGATAGTAGTGAGTAGCGCGTAGAGATTAGTGCGTAGTGTGTAGTGAGTAGTGGGTAGTGAGTAGTGGGAAGGAAGTAGTGAATAAGGAATTGTGAGTAGTGAGTAGGGAGGAGTGAGTAGTGTGTAGTGAGTAGTGCATAGTGAGTAGTAAGCAGGGAGTAGGGAAGAGGGAGTAGACAGTAGCGAATAGCGAGGAGTGAGTAGTGAGTGGTGAGTAGTGAGTAGTGCGCAGTGAGTAGAGAGCAGTGATGAGTGAGTAGCGAGTAGGGAGTAGGGAGTAGCGAGTATGGGAGTGGCGAGTAGTGAGTAGTGAGTAGCGAGTAGGGCGTTGTGAGTAGTGAGTAGTGAGGAGGGAGTAGTCAGGAGTCACTAGTGAGTAGTGAGTAGGGAGTCGTGCGTAGCGAGTAGGGAGTAGCGAGTAGTGTGTCGTGAGTAGTGAGTAGTGAGTAGTGAGTAGTGAGCAGTGAGTAGGGAGTAGTGAGTAGTGAGTAGTGAGTAGTGAGTTGATTTGGGAGTGGTGAGTAGGGAGTAGGTAGTAGTGAGTAGTGAGTAGTGGGAGCGTAGTGAGTAGTGAGTAGTGAGTAGTGCGTCTTGGGTAGCGAGTAGGGCGTAGGGAGCAGCGAGCAGTGAGTACTGTGTAGGGATTAGGGAGTAGCGAGTAGCGAGTAGTGGATAGTGAGTGGTGAGTTGTGGGCAGTGACTAGTGAGCAGTGAAGTGTGAGTGGTGAGTAATGGATAGCGGTTAGTGGATAGTGAGTAGTGAGGTGTGATGAGTGAGTAGTGGGTAGTGAATTGTGTTTAGTGGGTAGTGAGTAGTGAGCAGTTTGTAGTGAGTAGTGATGAGTGAGTACGGAATAGGGAGTAGAGAGTAGTGAGTAGTGCGTCGTGGGTAGTGAGTCGTGGATAGTGAGATGTGAGTCGTGAGTAGTGAGTAGCGAGTAGTGCGAAGTGAGTACTGAGTAGCGAGTAGTTAATTTTGGGTTGTGAGTAGTGCGTAATGAGTAGTGACTACTGTTTGGGGCTAGGGTTTGGGGTTAGAGTTAGAGGTTTAGGGTAAGGGTGAGGATTAGCATTAGGGGTGGTAGGGGTCGGGTTCCGGAGACCTGGGGCGCCGTGGCGAAAGGGGGGGAGGCGGGGGGAGTTCGAATTTGGCGGCCAAAGGGGGTGAGGGGGGGGGGGGGGTCGGACCTTTCCCACTCTCTTTTGAAAGGGGGGGAGGGGGGTTGTTCCCGACGACGGACCGGGAAAAGGGGGAGGGGGGCCCCGTAAAAAAAATTGAACGCCCCAGGGGTATGTTCCCGTTCCTGTTCCCGTTCCCGCTCTTTTTCCCGTTTTCTCGTCCTCTCTCTCTCTCTCTCTCGTCTTCCCTCTCTCTCTCTCGTCCTCTTTCTCTCTCGTCCTCTCTCTCTCTCTCGTCCTTTCTCTCTCTCTCTCTCGTCCTCTCTCTCTCTCTCGCCCTCTCTGTCTCTCTCCGTCCACCCTGAAGGGGGTCAAGACGGAGGCTCCGGAAAGGCCACGGACGCTTGGAGGCTCGTTGGAGGTTCGGACGTAATAGTAGTCGTAGTAGTCATAGTAGTAGTAGTAGTAGTAGTAGTAGTAGTAGTAGTAGTAGTAGTAGTAGTAGTAGTAGTAGTAGTAGTAGTAGTAGTAGTAGTAGTAGTAGTAGTAGTAGTAGTAGTAGTAGTAGTAGTAGTAGTAGTAGTAGTAGTAGTAGTAGTATTGTAGTAGTAGTAGTAGTAGTAGTAGTAGTAGTAGTAGTAGTAGTAGTAGTAGTAGTAGTAGTAGTAGTAGTGGTGGTAGTAGTAGTAGTAGCAGTAGTAGTAGTAGTTAGTAGTGGTAGTAGTAGTAGTAGTAGTAGTAGTGTAGTAGTAGTAGTAGTCAGTAGTAGTAGTAGTAGTAGTAGTA